GGATGCCCATACCTGCAGCAAACCCGGGACACTCCCTGGAATCCTCGTCACGGGTCACCTGCGCACCTATGGAAGGATATCGCGCTTAGTGGAGGGGCAGCGAACCAGAGGAAGGCACTCAACAAGATGCACTGGCACCGTGGCTGCGACAGGGGGGCTTCAGCATGGGGACAGTGGTGAGGATGGCGCAGGACTGGGCAGAGTGTCCTTCTGTTGGCCCAGGGTCACTGTGAGTCACAATGATACCTAACAGCAGGGGTAAACGGATGAGCATAACTCACTCCAGGGGTTCGCTCACTGCTGTGGCTATTGTCCCCACCCCTGGGCAAAGGCCCACCCCTGCATCCCAGAGGGCATTCAGTTCCCGCTTCCAGCACCCCTCAGGGACATGTGTACACTTGGCAATGTGTGGAGGCACAGTGGACCAGAGACAGGGTGCTACAGGCCTGTAATGCACGGTGGCCAGCGAGGTGGTACCATGTTAACATCCTGTAAAGTGTGAGGCCATCCCTCACAACACCCACGGAGGATGATGGGTTCCTCCCTCGGAAACCCAGAGGGGGCGTTCTTCCCGTCCCGTAGGGTGGCTCGGAGTCGGGATGGACTCCCTGGAAGTGAGTTCTGAGCGAGTTTGTAGATACGCGGTGCCTGTGTAAAGAAACTTCCAGCGTGTGGCCAAGGCAAGTCTCACCTTGTGTAAGCTTGCCACCCACGGAGGCACCGGGGCCCAAGGAGGAGGAACGTGATGGCCAGCCTTTCCCCTGGCAGCTCTGACTTCAGATTTCAAAGGTTGGAAAAAAACAATAGGACTCGCCAGTCAATAAAAAAGCCACTGAGCCACCACTAGACACCTGGCCTACCCGTGGAAGCCGGCCAGGGGAGGCCCCAGCCCCAAGGGAGCGCTGCCACAATCAGATCAGCGTAACCATAGCGACCGGTGAGCTTAAACACAGTTCTACTGGGAGCTAGGGACTGTGGGTGTCTCCATTTTCTCGAGGAGGAAACAGAGGCCCAGGCCCAGGTTGAGGCAGCTACAGAACGGACAATTAAACAAGCCCGTGGCCACCGGGGTCAGGCCGCGGCTGAGTCATAGCAGCAGCCCTCGTGTCACACAGGAAAATGGCCCACGGGGCTCTGGGTGGTGACTGTTTCAGAAAGGTTGCCCACCCTTTTCATCTGCAATGCCACTGGGTGGGTTGGCAGCGACCGTGAACCCCACGTGCCACCCAGGGACCTCCATGTGGCTGGTAATACAGAAAATATGAAGATACAGTACAGTAATATGAAGACACTGAAAATACCGGGAGTTAGAGGGCCCAGATCAAACGTAGCCAGAGAAGTCTTGCTTCCTCAAACTGGGCTCACACAAAACCCAATTCCAATACCACTGAGTCATGTCTGACTCACGCAGACCCCACAGGACACACCGTAGAATTGCTCCCTGGGGTTTCTTTCAGGCGTGGTATATATTTATGGTGACAGACAACCTCATCTTTCTCCCTAAGAGTGGCCAGTAGGTTTGAACTGCCAACCTTGCGGTAATTGGCCCCGACGATGACGACTACCTCTACTGTGCCCCCAGGGCTCTGGGGTTATGAACAACAGCCTAGCAATTCCCTAATACAAAGGCCAGGCTAGGCAGTAGCTAATGTCAGCACAGCCTGTGTTCCAGTGTGCTGTACCAGATCTGAATCCACCTGCCAAGTGTGTCCCCCATGGACAAGGTAAGTAACCCCAGTCAGTTCAGCACCACAGTGGGATGACGCGATATCCTCTCTCTGCCGGAAAAGGCTGGTAGGCTCAGTGAGCGCCAGCGAATGATGCCTGCGTGCATCAAGTGAACTTCGACTCCCTACGAGCCATGACTAGAACAATGACCCAGTGGGAGAAGGAGGTGCCAGTGGGAGAAGAGTGAAACCCCACAACCTCAAACAGGTTTCCCCAAATCCTTTAGTTTCTTCCCCTCCCCTTGGTCCACCACAGACTAGCTCTTTCTCAGCCGGTTTCTGAGCAGGCTTCCACAATAAATTCTCTCAGCAGCACTGGGTCAACCCAGGCAAGTTCAAAGTCCCTTGGGGTGAGCTGGGAGTTCCTGGAAGAAATCAAAGAGCTTCTCTCCAGGTAGCCTCACCCGCTCCTCCCTGCTTAGCTTTCTGCCTCCAAATGCCCTTTCCTCCTTCTCCAGGAAGGTTCCAGGAGCCAAGCAGAGCACAGTCCGTCCTGGCTCAGCTGCTGGGTGA